AAGAAACGAACTATAACTTGAGCACATTTCTTGTAACAAACAATCGAAAACTACCAAAAATGCCTGAAAGAGAATCAAACTTAACCTACAAGGTCTGATCAGGATCACTTCTGCAACAATTTCTCTAAAGCAGAAACTCTCTTTCTTGCAGCCAACAGATCCTCATGCTGTCCACATAAGTTTGTTCTTTAGACTTGATACTCTCATACTCATCATGTATATGAAACATCAGTATTTCGAGACATGGAAACAGAACACATTGTTCCAGTTTTGGCTTTGAGGTTTTGTCCTTGAAAAGTCAAAATCTCTCCAACTAAATAAAAAAAAACAAGAAACTAAGAGTATAGTGTATATCGCTCAAGGAAACATGAATTAAACCTTAAAGAGTAATTATTATTCGTGCATGAAAGTTAATAGTACATACATACATAGTATTATTATTCATCATTAGTTTCCCCAAAACATGACGATTCACCAGGGTATGGTTAAAATCGTCATGTCGGATTATTTAATTACAGGGGATGATACTCTGTTTTTATTGTCACACACTTTTCATATTACATAATGTATTGAATATTGTTCGAGGACAGAGAGCTTCAGCTTCAAGTCTGAGCCTGTTCTGCCTCCTTTTTCTCTTTGACTTGGTCCAGCTCTGTCTCCAACCAATCCACCTTAAAACTCGCATTTTTCAAGTACGACAGAGCAATGTCAGCTTCCTCCAGATCTTCATAGGAGAGCTCCTGAACTGATTGGCGCAACGTCTCCGTAAGGCTGAGCAAGAAGTTCATGCATGTTGTCCTCAGTTGTTTGTTCTTTGCACGGAATTCTGATGCAATGTCTGGGTGCAATTCAAATATACGTCTCACAGATTCTTCCTACGAGTGAAAAACACATGTACAACAAAGCATATGAGAGAGAGCATTCTTTGGAGACTAGGTAACAGACGAAGACATGATCTCGCCATTCGTAGAGTAACAAGAAGTTTGCACCATTCTTAAGTTTCTTACCTGTGAAGGAAGGAATTGAAACCCATTCACATCCATTATTTTCTTCAGAGGGTCGGATGCCTCTTTAGACTCATCTAATATGCCAATAACATCAAGAGTCTCTATTTCAGCAACAATCCTTAGTTCATCGTTCACCAGGAATCCACTATCTTCGTCATTAAGTTGGGTATGGGGAAGGAATACTGGACCCCATCCAGTAGATTCCACATCATACCAGTACTGTTCTTCTGTATAATATTTCACGCCATTAGTTAACTAACAATAAATATAGCACTGTGAACTGAACGTCAACTAAACCATAAGAGTAAGATCTAAACCACTAACTCAACACAAACACCTTTTAGCTGCATAGAACTCTGGTCAAAACAATAAATTTTCACAACAGATCATCAAGACCTCGCAGCATAAATAGGTAGACTGATGGAATTGGAATATACAAGTGCTACTGTCAAAAAGATCACATTGTGCATATGATACTGACACTGACAAGGACCTATTACCATCATGAATCAACTATTGAGGAGATTCTGGTAAGATTTACCTCTGTGTATGGAGTTTTCATACGAAACTTGATTTACTAAAGTTAAACGAAATTTTACGTAACATCTCCATCCAGAAGGCAATGATTGACCATCAGCAAACTCAAGAAACACCCTCAGAGAATCATCTCTCTCGGGATCGAAAGAAAGACGCCTGCCAAAAGAAAACCAAAGAAAAAAATCAACAACACGAAATATGGATGATTGACATCATCAAGTTAATCTAAATAAACGAGAACATTTGACAAAGAAGTTGTATTTTTACCACTTGACGTCGCTGACCACGACCGAGGCAGAATAAAGCCAGCCAGAAGGCAAAGAGGAGAAATCCTTTATAGACCAAACAAACTGCTTCTTCTCGGGCATCGCCATTGATGTGATAAAGACTCCTCGCAATCAAACTACCTGAAACTGGAAGCAAGAAACCCTTTTGACTGATTACCACAAAACCTCAAATTCATATACCAAGTAAGAATCAAATGCACTCCCGAGCAACAACCAAAAAAAAACTAAGCTTCAAATATGGACTCAGAGCCTCACAATTTATAACTCGCGCTTTTAAACACAAAGTGTAATAGGTACAACGTTAAAAAAATCAAACAGAATCTCTCAGATCAAAGACCAAAGGATCAATGGAAAAAGGATACACCTTTAGAGACACGGACGTTATTACTCCTACAATGCAATGATTCTCTAAAACAAAAAACAAAGATGAAGATAAGTTGAATTTCTCTCTGGTTACCTTATCAATTATAAAATGAGAATCGAACTGCTGGTACCGGAAGAAGAGAAACCAGAGTATAAATAGTTAGAAAAGGGGAATATGCTTACCTTACAGGGTGAGCGAGGTAGTTCTATCTTCATTACTCGGGAGTTAAAGAAGATGCAGGAATCTCAAATTACGTGCGCGAATGGGTAGAACCTGACTTGTAGGTCATCACGGAATGATATTCGGCATAACTACGGGTTAATAAACGGTCAGCAAGAGATTAACATTAAAGCAAATACTTGATCATCAAACTTAAGTTTCTTCTATCCATGATTCTTTTCTTCAAAAAAAACATACATACTCAATTCCACTTTTCTCTGGAAAAAAGGCTCAAAAACTTTGATTCTTTAACGAGAGAACGAATTAGACAAAGTTGAATTTAACTTGCACAATCAGCAATGAAGTTCCAATCTTGTAGAGTGTTTTCTTCCTACAACAAAGATGTAAAAAATGCATACATCTATAATAGACATACAAACACTAGCACGAATAGTTGTGACTCATATTTGAACTTGATACAATCAAAGAGGACATAAAGTGATAAACTGAATCAAAAGCAAAGAAGCTTACAAAAAAACACACTCACCTAATAATACTACTTTTGTATCATTATGTTTCCAAATCGTATTCACTACATTGATGCAAAATTTCACTTCTTTTCACAATCCCCATGGCGAAAAGTATCTCGTTGGCCTTGGGATAGGCAATAATAGTGCCTGCAAAAAGAAACAAACAAACCCCACCAAAAATCATTTCCTTCCCAATAATCCAAAATTAGAAATTGACGAAATTTGATGGAAAATTTGTAATCGTTTCTCAATTACCAGTTCCAGCCGACGAACATCGAAGGGGGAGAGAGTAGCAACATTCGTCTTGCAAAGTTGAGATTTTTTTTTCAAAACCCAAAGTAAAATCTCTTCTCCAATTGCTCGCCCATTGAAGATACTT